AGAGAGAGAGAGAAAGAGAGAGAGAGAGAAAGAGAGAGAGAGAGACAGAGAGAGAGAGAGACAGAGAGACAGAGAGAGAGAGAGAGAGAGATGATCTTCCTGTGGGATCAGGATACAGGATGATTGATGGTGTCTTGTTCTTCGGCTCACCACAGCAGTTGCAGAGAACAAATAGTGAACCAATAGCCTTGTTCCTGTGTGGCCAAAAAGAAGAGGAGGGGACCTCTCTTCATGGCCCACCTTCAGAATTAAGCCACTTGCCTCTGGATTTAGGAACAGTGGCTGCGATGGTCGTTAAAACAGCTCTTCTTGGCCTGGCAGGTTAATCACGTCCGGACGAGAGACTTTGACTGCTGCCTGGTGGTGCCTCTCATAGCCGAATCTGGCAACAAGCTGGACCTAGTTATTAGCAGAAACCCACTGGCCACGCAGAAGTCGATAGACCAGCCGGCTCTGCCCAGCAACTGGAGTGAGCAGAACAGCGCCTTCTTCCAGCAGCCCAGCCACGGTGGTAATCTAGAGACACGAGAACCCACTAACACATTATAGCAGTACTTTTATAGCAGTACAGGGCAAAAGACAATATCTACATGGTGCTAAAAAAAAAACAAAAACAAAAAAACAAAAACCCTTTTAAGATTTCTGTGACACCCGAAGCACAGAGAATCACGTGGCATTAACGCAAGCACAGGGGTCTTTTAAATCTCCCTCATGGTTCATGTTCTCATCCCTTCCCAACTAGAAGAGGTTTCTTTAAGGATGACCACGCTGGTAACTGGCGGGTCCTTCTCTGCCGGGCCCAATGGTAGAGAATAAAGACTAAGGCAGCCCAACCCTTCCCCCAATTAAGATCGGAGGAAACTTTTTACAATTCACCTTTCCTGTCACTTTTTACGGAGAGAAACATGTTTGAAAATATTCTCTATGATAATTTCCTGAATGAAATAAGTTTCTTATTATAAAGTCAGTCATTAGCGTAAGAATAGGATCAACATGGATTTACATACAGCTGGCTCTCTAGGAGAGCTAGGATGGGTGACCGGCCAGGCCTGCCGCAGTGGGAGGGGCACAGGTATAACACTAGGTTTTCTTAAAATATTTCAGCAACAATGCACGTAGGAGACCATAATAGGTGGTGGTAAATGTTTTGCCCAAATATAGGAATGATTTTAACTAAGATGTATGCTATTCCCTATGCAACAGATGATCAAACAGGATATGTCTTGTGACCTGTTTTTTTTTCCCCCCCTTAAGGACACATTTTTTTTAAAAAAAAAAAAACCATAATAGCTGAAAAATCTCTGATAATGAATTAGAGTATGTAGTCACACTGAGAATTAGTGATATGATCCTATTTTTAAAATCGAAGACTAAGAATTTAAGGAGTGAAGAGGTCTAACGAAATGAGACTCACTTTATGGGTAGGCAAATAGAACTCATCCAGCTCAGACTGCTTCACCGAGGGGTGCACAGCACACTTACTTACAGCTTTCGTTCGGAGCCACACCCCTTGCTTAACTTGTAAATACATTTTCATAAAGCTCATTGCCAATCACTGTCCCCCGAAGCAATAAACTGTGACAGTTGCTTTAAATGTTTGTGGGCAACTGTTTTCATTTGTTCAGATATTTTGAATAGCTACACGAATAACTGTTATTTGGTAAATATTTAAAGCAAAAAAAAAAAAACTAGATCTGTATATTGATGGTAGAATGTCAAAACAATTCTTTTCCAAACATGTTCATTTTTGGTCACTAATACAACTGCACAGGCAAAACATCGAAACACTGTGTCCTTTGTTTAAGGGAAATGATTCATCTTTCTTTTTTGTGCAAAGAAATATATGATTTCAAACACATTTCTGAACTGCCAGGGCAAGAAAGTATAGAGCAGAATCATGTTAAGAAAAAAAAATGATCATGAGTCACTTAAATATGTATTTTTATTTGTAACAAACAAGTATTAAACTGTAAAGTATTTTTGTACAAATTTAATACTTTAATAGCATGGTATTTATCGTCTATGTATGGTTTTGGGGAATTCAAAATTGTTGCAAATATTTGTATGGAAAAAAAAATCCTCTACCAAATGGAATAAACGGTGATTTTAAAGAGCCAAAATAAAAACAAACAAACAAACAAAAAAGAAATGACCTGCATGTTTTGGTGCGTTGAGTGTGATTCAGTGTCCCGGCCTGAGTGCTAGTCAGAGTCCGTCTCCACAGCTTCCCAAAGGAAGAGAGTGTCTCCGTCAACTTGAAAACCACTCTGGAGGGCTGAGCATGAGCTGCGGAGTCAGATCTGGGGGCCGGATGGGAGCTTCGGCACTCATAAAGCAGCGGGCAACTTACCTCCCCGAAGCCAGCTTCCTCACCCGGGGTCCTGAAGGTCAGTACACCAAAGAACCTACAGAACATTCCTTTAAGTGTCCAAGAAAGGCCAAGAACACATGCATACAGCAACCCCGTCAAATCCAATGCCGTGTTCACTCTAGGGGACAAAGATGGTTCGCAACTCTCGGGTGCATCATCTGCCCTTAGGAACTGTGACACTCGTTCTTTGAGGCACACTTACATTAGTTATGAAAATGTCAACTTTAACTTTGTTACCTTTTTAAAGCGACGTCAACAGGCTCAGCAAGGCTTTGTAAACGCACGTTCATTTTTATACAGTTACATCCAGTGTGCACGGTGTCACATTAGAAACACCTGGCAGTCACGTGACCCAACTGAAGCCTTTTTTTTTTTTTTTTTTTTTTTGGCAGACCCTAAACAATTGTTTATATTTTGATTTTGATTGCACTAAGTTCCGTGAGGTGGAAATCAAGGAAAGGAAGCATAGTTAGAGCCAATCACGTGAGTTCCGACAAATGAGAAGCAATGTCATATAAAAGACTCAGATTAGGCAGAGCCAATCCATAGAAAAGACTCAGATTAGACAGAGGCAATCGATACAAAAATAGCCACTAAAAATATAATGAAAATAAAACCCAAACATCTCAGGTAGTAGTTTTCAAATACAGTGATCCGCTCCTGTGTCACACAGTGCTTGTGGCCATCCAGAGAAGCCAGCATGTGCAGCATGTGCAACCCTGGCTGCTGGTGGCATCCAGCCAGGTGCACAGCTGTATTAGAGAACCCTTCAGGCTTAATACCCTACGAGGAAACAGCACTGGCCTCTTATCGCAACTGTTAGGTTCCTAGATGTGTTCTTTTCCAATGACGGCTTGAAGAATATTGAGTTAGGTTAATTATTTGTATCTTGGCCCAATACTACACTCATAATATAAAACCTAGTTCCTACTAGGTGTGGCGGAACATGTCCTTAGGCCCAACACTCTGGAGACAGAGGCAGACAGACCTCTGTGATCTTTAAAGTGACTTCTAGGCCATCCAAGGGCTACGTAGCGAGACCCAGTTACATATGAAGTGTTTCATTGTGTCTTAAGGAAAACAAGCTAATTTAAACTTCTTCTTGATGAGGTTAAAGCTATGGGTCTTATCCTCTGGAACACAGCTCTAGTTGAAGATGTTTTCTGTCTACCAGTTTGATAGTTATGATTCCCTCCTCCCTGCCTACCAACCTCTGTGTTCCAGAAAACCTTTATCACCAGGAACCATCCCTCCCACGTGACTTGATAGTAAGGCACAGACTCTGCCACTTCTACACCTGTGCCAATTATTTGTGCCTAAATGATGCCCACTGGGCAGTCTAGACAGGACAGGAGACTCTCGTTCCCCAAGATCCCTAAACTCTGGCTAACCTTCCATGTTAGTCAGAATAAAGCACTCCTTAAATGGATAAATGAAAATACGAGTGGAAATTAATAAACGCTCAACGATTAAAGCAACAGAGTGCAGCACATGAAACTTTAAAACGATCAGTAAGGGAGCCCGAGATGGCTCAGTTAAGAGCACGGACTGTACTTGCAAAGACTCCCATCACCCAGGTCAGGAAGCTCACAAGTACCATAGGGGATCCAACACCTGGCCTCATATTCATACACACACACACACACACACACACATGCACTCACATGCATACAGACACACATACACTCACATGCACTCACACATGCGCACACACACATGCACTCATGTGCATATACTCACATATGGACACACACATACATGCGCGCGCACACACACACAAATGTACCTGCAATTCAATATAATAAAAATAAATCTTTTTAAAACCTCAACACATTTCATAAACTATTAGCTAGACTGGCCATAGGAAGAGGAAGCTCTCAAGTTACAAGAATCAGGAATGAAAGGAGAACTTTGCTATCAGTCACAGCAGACTGTAAACCAGACTTACAGACTCAACAGACTGTAACCAACCCTACAGAAACAACAGACTGTAAAGAACCATTTTGATCACCGGTTAAGCAGCAGGTGGAACAGACAAACTCCTCAAGATACAGACTCTCAAAACTGAGTCTCTGTAACACAAGCAGACTTGGATATGGAATAGAAAATCCAGACCTACAGTAAGATGTAATTAGAAATTTTGAAACATTCTACAGAGCCCAAACCCAGGTGTCTTCACTCATGCTTCATCCAAACGTTTAGTGAAGAATGAGCATCAGTTCTTTACAAACTAGAAGAGTGTGGAATATCAGTCAACTTGTTCTATTATACCCTGATGTCAAAACCAGACAAAGGTAACTACTTACAGACTTCCATCTCCTATGACAACATCCGTAGCAGGACCTCGCAAACGGAAGCAGCACCAACTAAACCAGCAGCAGCTAGTTATGACCTAGCGGACTATTTCAGGGATTCAAAGTTGGTTTAACATCCAAAAACCTAAAATCATTATAAAACTAAAATCAGCATCACCTACTGTATCAGTATAACGAAGGCTAAAACTACACCGATACTACAATAGAAACAAACAAAAAAAGAGTTGACAAAATTCTCTTCATGGCAAAAACATACAACTAGCAACAAAAGAGTCTTGGATAAAAAGCATTAAAAAAAAAAAAAAAGACCAATGCTAACAACACATTGGGAAAAGACTTAATTCTTCCTCCAATGCTATTTGGATGTGAATACTGGCTACCTTGCCCAAGGCCTGTGTGTTAAAGGCTTGGACTCCAGGGTGGTCCTCTTGGGAAGTGCTGTGAACCTTGAGGATGTAAGGCCTTGAGGATGACTTTCAGTGACTAGCAGCATGCTCCCATAGAGGACTGTGGAGCCATGTCCCAACTGTTCATGAGATGAGCAGTCTGCATTTCTATACACTTCCACCATGATGAACAACCCTCACGGGGAACCAAAACGAACTTTCTCTTCATAAGGTCGTTGCTTCATGTTGCATTAGAAAACCAGCTGATACACCTTAATATCCTGAACCCAGCATGGATGCCCGTGCTCGCCCCTTCTCTAACAACAGTGTGCTCAGAGGATCTAGCCAGGACGGTAAGGCAAGACAGCAACATAACATGCATATGGATTGGAAGGAAAGAATTAAAACCATGTCTGCTTGTAGAAGAGACGGTCTTATACAGAAAATCCAGGGCAAGCCACCAAAAAAACTTACCGATACCAACCAGTTCAGCAAGATCAGTATAGGAAAGCCACTTGCTTCTGTAGAGTAAGAAGGGACCAACCAAAAATTAAGACAAGGGCTGAGGAGACAATATAGCATGAGGACAACTGGGTGTTTGTTTTAAAGCCCAGCATAGACCCATATACTTATAATTCCACGGCTGGAGAGGCAGATAAGCCAATTCCTGAGGCTCACTGGACAGCCACAAGTCAAACCAGTCATTATCTTTGACAGGCAAGAAACTCTTTCTCAGAAAACAAGCAAACAGAAAACCAAGGTGGATGACACCCAAGGAACACCCAAGGTTGACCACGGGCCTCCTCCACACCCCCATGTGCATGCTCAGCTGGTCAGAGACAAAAGCAAACACAAAGACAATTTCAATTTAATAATATGAACAAGAATATGCTTTTTAAAAATTTAAAATAAACCTAGTTTAAAAGAAGTACATGAAGGCAGAACTATAAGACATAAATGCTTTAAAACTACAAAGAAGGCACTGACATAAATAGAAGACCACCCTTGTAGATCCTAAGAGTTAATATTAAAACAAGGGCAATCCGCAGCCCTAAAAATGTCTCTAAAGTACAAGCTCCATCAAATTTCCAGCTGGCTTCTTTAAAAAATAAAAATAATAATAATAAAAAAAACACCACTACCAACAACAACAAAAACCTGAAAGCTAAAATTCATACAGAAATGCAGGGAATCCAGGTCATGATTTTAATGCCAGCACCCCTGAGGCAGAGACAAGAGGATCTATCTTGACATGGAGGCCAGCCTTGTCTACATAGCAAGTTCCAAGCCAACCAAGGCTAGACAGTGAGGCTGTGTCTCAAAAAGAAACTACAACAAAACCCAAGGGACCCAGGACAACTAAAACAATCTTGAAAAAGATCAACAAAGTTAGAAGGCTTGGGGGTTGATTTCAAATTATATAGTAAGTACTACAGTCTACTGTAATAGAGTCAGTAGGATACCAGACTGATACATGAACCAACGTGTGGGACACAACCAAGAAGCCACAAACACACCCTCACACACGCCAGTGAGTTGTGACATGGGTATGGAGACAACTCAATGGGGAAAAAACCATCTTCAAGAGATGGAGCTCAAACAGTGAGTTGGATAGCCTCGTGCCAAAGATGACCCAGGATCCCTCTCAGTTTACACAGGGGCTAACTGAAAGTTTATCTGACACCTAGACATGAATGCAAAAACTATTAAACGCTTAGAAAAACAGAATTAAATTTTCATGGCTTTGGACGGGCCATGGGTTTGTTGGTCGTGACACGGAAATCACAAGCCAACAATAACTGACAAATAAGACATGACTGGAATTAAAAATATGCCCTTGGATGTAAAATTTCACAAAATGAGAGAAAAATGCGGGTCACATTATTTTATAAAGGACTATATGTAGAATATATAAGGAACTCTCAGATTTTGATATTAACCTAATATAAAAGTCAAAAGGTAGGAATAGATATTTCTCCAAAGACATATTAAAGACCAGTAAATATATGAAAGCTATTCCTCATCTTTAGCCATAAGGAAAATACAAATCAAAATCAGGATGAAATACCACATCTTACTCCTAGGATAGCTATACTTTGGAAGTCAGTTAAGAGAAGGAGGTGGGGCAGATTGGGGAGACAGCACAGAGTAAGATAGATCCCTTGCTACACAAGCCAGACGAGCTGAGGTCAAATCCCCAGAGCCCATGTAAAAAGCCAGATACAGTCATGCATCCCTGTAACCCCAGTGAGGGGAGACAGAACAGAAGGCTCACTGGAGATCACTGGATCACTGTCAGACCCTGACTCAGGGGAGTAAAGCCAAGAGAGAGAGCAGAACACAATATGCCCCTTCATGTTCAAACAGATGCATGCACCCCCACAACACACACAGGTACACCTGTACTATATCCATACACTATATTCACACACAGACACTATATACACATGCACATACACATATACTATACGCATATATGAGATACACATACATATATACCACACATATACACCATAGATACTACACATGCACACATACTCATATACTAGGTACACACAACAGGTACATATATACCATAAACATGCACCATATTCAAACACAGACACCATATACACATGCACATGCACACCCACACATGTACGTATATACTACATGAATACATCAGATACATACAAACACACATGTACATGTATGCCATATACACACACCATATTCACACAGGCCCAATATATACATGCACACACATATACATAAGTATAAATATACCACATACATTATGTATACACACACACATACACACACACACACACACACACACACACAATTTAGAGAAATTGGAATTCTCATCACTACTGGTGAGAATGCAAAATGCTAACTGCTTAAGAGTCTAAGGCAGACTTACTCCATGACGCAGCAATTCCACTGGGTGACATAACCCCAAGAAATGAGAATAAATATCTACTCACAAAAAATGTCTGCTGGAGAGTCCAGAGCAGTAAAGTTACAGTGGACAGAAGAGTAATTGCCCTGATGTCAATCCACTAATGGAGGGATAAACTCTACAGGCAATACAGCCATGCAAGAGAGTATTATTTAGCAATGAGTGAGCTGGGCTGCCAATATATTACTGATATAAGGTGGGTGAAATCTAAATAATACTGTTAGGTAAATAAGTCCGAAAGGACCTCATTCTATACGGCTTCACTTATAGGAGCAATGCATTATAGGCAAATCTACAAAGGCAAATCCATTAGCTGGAGTGGATGGGTATGCCTAATGGGGTACAGATTATACTTAATGAGGTACAGGCTTGGGGGTTACAAAAAAGCCCCAACGTTGACTATGATGACCGCTTCCCATTCTTTGACTAAACTAAAAGCTACCGAATTGTGCTCTTTAAGTGGGTAAACGGTATAGAATTCTATCTCAACACTAATAATGTCAACTCAATGAGTACATTTTATTTTACCATCGGTCTTAATTCCTTGTTGTTATTGTAAAAGAAAACCACAGACTGGGCGATTTAGTCAAAGAGTAGTGGATTTATTTCTCACAAAGGCGTATCTCAGAAATGCTGCAGAGCAGTCCCAGGGCACAGCAATTAAAAAAAAAGTTACAATCAGCTTAGTCACATGATTGGTTTTGTTTGTTTACTTCCTGGTACATATAAAAGTTATGTTTAGGACCAGGGATGAAACTCAGCAATAAAGTGCTTTCTTAGAAGGTATCGGTCCTTGGCTTCAGTCCCAGCACAAAAAGAAGGGGAGGAAGACAGAAAACCTGTCTCTGTACTATTCTGGCAGTCCAATAGGTAAACAACAGAGTATATAAAAATACAGTCATGTGCATACACTCGCTAGAAGTTTCCATGACCTGAGTTTTTAGAGAGGGGTAATTCATAAGCAACCTACGATCTGAGAACTGTAATAAGAGGAACAGAAAGACAAGGTGTCCCTAGAGCCAGGTGTCCACATCTAGTGAGGACCCCCACAGCAACAAAACAACCAAGAGGACACAAGACAACAAAAAAGCTACTTTTACCAGGCATCCACTGCCACAGTGAAACTCACACAGGTTTGGGGAGACACGTTCAAGCCACTGTACTGCTAGGCAATAAATCTTTAAAAAAACAGTCTCCTTTGAGAGAAAGTCTCCCTACAATGGGATGTATTTAAAACTTACTCCCAACTCAGGAAGGCATATCCAAGCCCCAAGGACGCCGAGTCCCAGGCACAGGGATGGAGTGACGGTCACAGCATCACTCAGGGATGCTGTGACAAACAGCATCCTTAACAGGTACAATCAGTCCACCTTTGCTGGTTCTGTGGGCAAGCAAAGGGGACCCACAGTGATCACATGGCATTATCACAAAATGTCCAGCTGCCCTAAAATGGGAGTGTTATAAGCAAAAGGCATCTTTCCCCCTGTGTCCCCTGTTGACTGTTCTCATGAGGACAGAGGCGGAATTCATCATGGTTTTGCTTGGATTGGGCGAATTTAAAATACCTGCTTTTAAAACTCAGATTTAAAAATAAAATAAAAATTTTATTCTGGGCCATGTGCTGAAAAAATACAAATGCCCAAAACTAAAATGGCCAGTGACAGGCGTCTTCTCAGAACTTGAAACTTTGAAGCTAAAATATTCATCTTGTCTTGAAAGGAAAAAATAATAATAATTTCTTGAGCAATATGAAGTAAACATTTTTTTTTTCTGTTTTGAGGTTTTTGTTGGTGGTAGTATTGTCTGAACAGGGTCTTGTGATGTTGCCCAGGCTGGCCATGAACTCAGGAATCTGTCTCCATCTCCTGATTGCTGGGATCGTTGGCGTGATCCGCCACACCTGACTCAGCTGTTGCTTGATTGTCAGTGGGTTTAAAAAGTTGTCTGGGAATTAGGTTATTCAACCTCAGATTCTGAAATATAGAAGACACTTGTGGAGATGATTCCTCAACCTGTTGGAAAATAAAAATAAAAGTTACTTTTTATGTAAACATAGCTTTTCTACCATTCACACGTCAGTTTCCCATGACCACTTCTGAAGAAGAAATAATGCATCCCTTACAATCCGTGAGTTTGAGCAACCCATCAATGGGCTGTCTGCTCCTTGGAGGATCATGTCTGCTTCTGTCCAATCCCTTGTACCTAGCTAAGGGCCTGACATGGAGAAGTAGCCGTGTAGTGCCTAAATACAGGCATCTAACCTCTAAAAGTAGCATTGGGCTTAGAGAATTCAATGAAGGTTGACTACACTAAGAATTTCAAGATGGATCCAAGTCCCTAAGCACGGAACCAGGCTGCACACCCATGAAGACCTCTCTTTTGTGGTACATGAAGCATGGCAGTGCCAGGACCACCCTCTTCATGCTTCTGGTGACACCTGAGCAGCAAACACTGGGCCAGTACGATCCTCAGTTTTCACAGGAAAGAGGGACAAGAAAGAACACATTTCCCACAATGCCCTATCTGTGCATTTTACAGTCGGACTACGGTTAAGTAATCATACCAATATGCCTGGACTTCCGGATCCTGGACTTAGTCACGCGTCATGCTAAGCCCTCCGGCGAAGGCACGATTTACGATTTATGTGAAATATTTAAGCTGGTGAACTCTTAACTGAGGATTATCGTGTGCGAGGTGGGCGGAACTCATTTAGGCATTTGAAAGCCCCAACAGGAATAAGCCCCTCCTTCCCGGGGATGGCTGCCAGGCTGCCTGCTTTGAGACTCACACTGTACCAGCATCTACATACGAAGTCTTCTCTGACAGACACGCAGCTGGACAGACAGACCAGATGGATGCCTCTGTCTCCCGGAGGACTTCGACTAACTCAGGGGCTAGCCTTCCCTCAGCCACTGTGACTGTCTTATCTAGCTTGCTTTACATTGTGTATTACAATGTGAATCTTGTAAAACTATTTTTTGGGGGGAAGGGTCGTAACTGTTTTATCTGATACACTTGGCGGTGTTCACTCGGTTATTTGCATCAAAGAGTGCAAAGCTACTTTTCCTTTCTGTTTTCAGAGCAGGCAGTGTGTCAGGTCAACATTTCCCTTTAGGATTTGTTTCTCAAAACCCAGAGCTACTAGGGTAAAGAAAAAAAAAAAAAAAAAAAGCAAGGACTTCTCAGTCAGTCGTTAATAGTGTTACGCAGACCACAGTGACATTTGGACCACCGATGAGCGATACAGAATATAATGCTAGCCCCCTAAGATCAAATTGGAGCTAGAATTTTCCTATTGCCTAGAGCGGTTCAGAATCCACAGATTTGGGGAAATTGGTGATGTAAACCTGCTAGTGTGGAAAGTTCGTGACAGGAGTCAGTAACTACGCTTCTAGTCGGTGTATTTATTATGATTTTTTTTAGCATTCATTTAAACCACTGGTTCTCAACCTGTGGGTTGGGACCCCTTGGGGGAGGGTGTCGAAAAAGAACCCTTTCCCAAGGTTCACCCACGACCATCAGAAAACCCATATTTATGTTACAGTAGCAAAATGACAGTTGTGAAGCGGCAACAAAAATAATTTTAGGGTTGGGGGTCAGGACGGCATGAGGAAGTGTGTTGAAGGGTCGCAGCGCTAGGGAGGTGGAGAGCCACTGACTTAGAGTGTGATCGACTTATAAACATTGTTTTTGCCATAAAAGAGCATGCGCCACAGCCTCACAGCGCTCAGTGGCTGGGTCTATTGCGCCAAGAAGCCACCACAACCATCTAGGTTGGTGTGAACACACAATGGCGGACATTTGCCCAACCGTGGGACAGCTGCCTGAGGAGGCGTTTCTCAAAACGTATCCTCACAGGTCAGCCATGTAAGTTTTCACATGCAGAATTTAAATACTGGTGTGGGCTGCAGGCAGCAATGTGGATTTGAAGGGCAGGACATACGGACAGCCCTCGCCACTGGGTTCCTCTTTCAAAAACTGATATATTCACCTAGAGTTACGGAAGTAAGTCTCTACTTTACCTAGAGTTCTGATTTCTGTTTCCTCGTTTGCAGGGATTCCTGGAGACACTGTATACTTTTGGCAAAGCCTCTGAGAAAGACCGTCATTCCCTCCCATGAGCAAACTCTGGGCCGATGTCATTGTGCAAGGACGGGAGCCCACACACCACAGTGCTCAGTCTCACGCTTATGTTCACAGATGTTCAATGCTAGCCTCGGTCCCAGCAGGAAGGCTCCAGCGGACTCGGGCCTGGGGCTGAGGAACGCTGCCGTATTCTCTTTGTACCACCTCGTGAAATCATAGCCCCGCCCCCCACCCGATGTTGGTGAGAAGAAATATAACTCAAGAAACTTGTTTTGAAGGCTCTTTCTTTACAACTGTCCCTTGAGTGCTCCAGTCAAAAGTCTAGCCCCAAATCCCAGCACTTGGGAGGCAGAGGCAGGCGGATTTTTGAGTTCGAGGCCGGCATGGTCTACAGAGTGAGTTCCAGGACAGCCAGGACTACACAGAGAAACCCTGTCTTGAAAAAACCAAAAAAAAAAAAAAAAAAAAAAAAAAAAAGTCTAGCCCCAGGCCCTTTGCAAGCTTACATTTTTTTGGGGGGGCAGGGGAAGTAAAAAGATGTCAATGTCACATTAAATGTCATTATCATCTGCACTGGAGTGGAGGATAAGGTTTACTATCACCAGAGAGTCTTCCATTACCATGGAAGGAAAAGTCAGTTTCCCCAGAAAACTTGCCACTTACTCTTCTTACTGATTCCGATTACCGATACCTGGAGCCACCCTGCGCCCGGGTCAAACATGTGTGGGTCACTTGCAACCCAACCCCAGCTGACCTAACTCGTCTGTAGGACCCGTCAGCTCTGCCCTCTGGCCTTTCAGCATCTCTTTTCCTTCCCCGTTGGAAACACCCTACTTTCAGCCTAATCGCTGTATCCTGGGTTTCTTTACGATAGGAACTTATTAGTTCGTTTCTCTCTCATTGCCTGACACCGCACTAAGGCCAAGGTCACTTCCTTGAATTTCAACTCACAGGCAATTAGAATGTTCCTACGGATCTCAACTCCAATCAAAGGAAAGGACAGACAGCCTCTTTGGAAGACTCTGTCCATCAGTTGTGACTACCTCCCCACACCCACCCCACCCATATCCGAAGCTCTATGTCTCACTTGTATCTATCTCATGCTCTCCCAGTGGCTTCAACTGCCATCACCACACAATTGAACTCTTTGACAGGCAGACTCTTAGAGAGCCTGTTACCTGTCCCATACCTTCTTTGGGCATGAGTGTCACACTTTGGTACTTGGACAGAACCATTAGCCCATGCTCCTCTGAACTGCTCTCCACTGAACCCCACCTTAGCGAATCTGTGGCAGGTACATTAGTCAATCAGTATTCTTCCCTTGAAACCACATTTGGAAGTAATTTATAAACCTTCATATCTCTCTCTCTTTCTCTCTCTCTCTCTTTTTTTTTTTTTTTTTTTTTTGATTTTTGGTTTTTGGAGACAGGGTTTCTCTGTGTAGCCCTGGGTGTCCTGGAACTCACTCTGTAGAGCAGGCTGCCCTCGAACTCAGAAATCCGCCTGCCTCTGCCTCCCAAGTGAAACCTTCATCTCTTAAGTGTAGCACCCATTACTGCCTGCCCGAAGAAGGGAGGAAGACTGTATTTCCTCATAAATGGCTCTGCTGTTTCCCTGTTTCAGCCAGAAAGCAGGGACTCATTTGGGACTGTTCTCTTTTGTCTTCTCCCCTCTGGTCACCCAGCGGACAGCTCCATCTCCAAACTATAGATGCCAAAGGGGAGAGATAGGAACAAAACACTGATTCCTTTAGTGAATTAATGAACCAAAACAGTAGATTGACTGACGTCAAAAGGTAATAGTGAGACATCACAGGGCTCTGGGAGAACCAGATGTAGACTGAGAAGTCCCCAGTGTGTGCTTAAAGCACGGGGAGCCTTTAGACAGAGGGACTGAGTTGAACACCCAAGGGGTCGGAGTATATGAGGAGTTCGGCAGGAATGAGGTGGTTAGCTGGTCCTCTAGTAAGATAAGGACCCAAGCCAGAACAGCCGAGGCAGAGTGGGGGAAAAAGTCGTTCCTCAATAACGCTATGTTCCTAGAGGCAGAGAGTGGAGACGGGTCGGAATAACGTGAGTGCAAGACTTCAAATTGTCAAGCTGGGAGAAACGTGATTGAGACGGAGAACCGAGAGGAAGGTGTTAGGTTGTACTTCCAGAATGGCTCTCTCGAGGAGCAAAGATCAAAGACACATGAAGGAATTGGTTCCTGAACGCTCTTCAGTGAGTCGTCAAATTACTCCCATACTTGCAAGTAGTCAGCACAAGAATGGTGAAGAGGCACTTACCCAGAGTTCCCCGGTCCTGCATCAGGGCAGCCACTGAAACACTCAGGCCAAGGGGAATGGGTGATACTGTCACTTGGGGAGATGTCTCAATTAGGGGATGTGTGGGAGAGAAGGAGGGAGAAATGTAAGAGACTCTGAAAGCACTTCTCCATCAGATTAGATAGGGTCACATGAATGGAGAGAAAGAGGACTGTGCTCGTAGCAACAGTGAAACTAGAGGCCAAGAGGGTGCCAAGAGCGAGACCTAAGGAAAGGCTCCAGAAGCTTTCGAGAAGACCGGAACCAACCAGTGCAAGGGAGCTGTGGAGATACGAGGGACTGTGGCCTGCAAAGCCAGGGTAACTGACAAGGAAGAAGACAGGGGAAGGCAGGCACAGAGTGGGAAGCTTTCTCATGGAACATGACTGCCATCCATCAGTCAGTGGAAGCTGTCTAGAGAGTCAGCCTCAGGAGGGAGGGGAAAAAGAGGTAACTCCAAGAGGGCACTGGGTGGAGGGCACTTTGTTAGATTTGAGACATCAGCTGTCCGATACACTGACAGAAGGACACATGGCCCTGTCCAGGCACACTGCAGTTGGCAAAAGTTAAAGAAACCATGAATACAAGGGAACATGGCTCCTACCATTCGGAATTTACTGGGGCTTTCTTCATCAAATGGGAAGCCATCACCAGCTCTCTTGGACCGTCTGAGCTGCGCTGACTCTTCTTCTGTGTCCGTATCATTGAAGGAAGTTGAGAACCATCCTTGGTCAAAGGAGAACCTCTCCTCTGTGGCTGAAGACGATGCCTCACCCCTGGTGCTGTTTGCAGTAGCTTTGTTGTCTGGGGTTCTACAGAGGGGAGATGCTGAAGGCTGCGTGCCCGGTCTTTCTCCGAGGCGAGGGCTCGAAGGCTGAGACGAGAAACCTGCTGAAGGTGCACAGCTGTCGGAGAGCTTCTTCTGCAAGAAGTGTTTCAAACGCGTCTGCCTGGGGAAACTGCGCTTCCGGATGGCACTCCTGAGTTCGGACTCTTCCGCAATGATGTACACTCTGGAGCGGCCCCGGGTCACTGCGGTGTAAACGTGTTGCCAGTGCTGGCGGCCTGCCTTCCCCACTACATAGACGACTGTGTTCTCCTCAGACCCCTGGGAGGCGAAAACATGAAGACTGAATACAGCAGCTCAGCGGAGGAGCAACTGTGGCACAGGGCTGGGGCTGGGAAGATGGCTTGTGGGGGTTGGGGGGGCGGGGTGAATGCCAGTGAATAACCAGACCCTTTACAAAAGCCTAACGTCTGGCTCAAGCCTCATGAGCTAGCCTGGCAGACGCAACAGAGAAATCAAGGAGATCTTGTCTCAAACAAATGGAAACCAAGGACTCAAGGCTGCTCTGACCTCCACGCATAGACAGTAGGAGAAGCATACACGTATTCATACACACACACACAAACACACATAGACACACACACACACAAATACACACACAAACACACAGACACACACATACACACACAAATATACACACACACAAACACATAGACACATACACACAAATACACACACACACACACATACACACACACACACACACAGACAAAACAAAAAGAGAAAAGTGTTGAGGGTGTGCTCATGTCCTTCTACCTGGCTGCTGTGTCCGCATCACCCCAGAATCCATTTTATCTACTATCTCAGAACTCACGTTTGCTAAGTTTGTTACCAACAGTAGGTCCCCCATGGGGCCACAACTAGCTTGTGGTGACCAAAACAAATAAGTTCTGGAGACCAAAAGGAGTGCTACGTTTTCCCTAAGACTCTGAAATAACTGTACAGACCTATGTGTGAATGTGTTACACTAAGGATGCCGATAATGGCGAATGAAATAGCCAATAACAGGAGACTATATAAATATGTATAGACACAACATATATGCATGCGTCAAAGGGTCACTTGGACACACATACACACACGTGCGCGTGCACACACATGTACATGCACACACACAAAGATTGGCTGGACACATGAGGACACTCTGAGCTATTCTCATCTACTCTTTAAACCCGCTGTTCTCAAAGAAGATTAAACAAATTATAAGGGAGCTGTTTACAAAACTGGAGGGAGAGCGTACATTTGTCCAAAATAACAAGAGAATAGCAAGGTCCTCCAACGAAGTTAATAAAGCCAAAAATAAATAAACAAGATGTAAGACGACACCCTTTGCTTAAACCTTGAAAGCAAGAAAACGTATAAAAAAATACACACACACATATGTATACATATGCACAAAAAACTTAGATAAAATGTCAAAATTTAAGGACATCAGTACAGTTCATGTCAGGCCCTGCTGGAGAGTCAGGCTGGGAGGGAAGGAAGTGTAAGACTGTCTTGCTAATGTCTTAGTTCCTCAGAGTGAAAGGGCACTTAAGCGAACACACAGCTAGAATCTGAGTAGCATCTCCTGGGCCTTTGTGCGTAGAAGCAAAGGTTGTAAGAGTGAAGGCCATTGGCCCACTGCCGGGCACTAGGCCGCACTAGGCCGCAGGTTGGAAAGCAGCTCTCAGAAAACAAAGCAAAATTATGAGGGAGAAACTGGGCCAGAACTGAAGAATTAGAATTAATAACAGCAAAAGAAATGAAAAACAACATGCTGTACTTCCTGTTGTGGTAAGTGTTGTAGTTTTAACTCTGTTAACCTGATGGTGACCATGAGTCACCTAGGAGACATCTCTGGACATTGCTGTAGGGAGTTTCTAGATGGAGATCACAGCTGGGGGAAGACCCACTGTAAATATGGTGGCATTTATTCAACAGGCTGGGACCTGAGACTGAATTAAAAGGAGAAAGAGAGTTGAGTACCCAACATTCATCTCTTTCTGCTTCCAAACTATGAACGCAGTGTGACCAACTGCTCACTTTTCTGCCTCTAGGTCCTCCCCGCCAGGAGGGCCTGTACCCTCAAACTGTAAGCCCAAATGGCCTCTTTCTTCAACTGCTTTGGCCAGATACTTTGTTACATCGATAACAAAACAGACTAATACAATCAGTGTTAACAATCAAACAACTGTAAACAGCTGCTCTTACCTGAAAAGTATGAATGGTCCTTGCCCAGGCGTGCTTTATCTGACAGTTTGTCATTAGTTTGCTAAAATCCACAGTCACTTCTAAGCCAGCCTCATTATTAATGGTCAAAAGTCTTTTTCTTTTGGAAGTTACGTCGGTTACATCCTGGGACCAAGACAAAGAAATCTTTGCACCTATTCCAACATGCACATGGTAAAGACATTCTGTCTCGGGAGGAATATTAAGTATTTCAATGAGCAGAAATAGAAACTTTTGGTCCTTGAAACTTCACACTCTCTTCCCCTCACTGCCCCTTCAGCATCCTTTAAGTTTGAGAAGATGTTTACACAGGGGGAACAACCCCAGGAAAAATTACTAAAGTTTCTACATTGAAGCTACAACTACAGAGAGCTTCGCTTTGTCCTTTGTTGTTCAAGCTTCTGACTTATTACAAAGAAGTTTCCTTTCTACATCTTTCAGGGGAAAAAAATGTTGGAAAAAGTAATGCTTCCCAGTAGAGCTATTCCCAAGGACCCCATCAGATTTCGGTATTAAACCAGAAAAGACGGGCTGGAGAGATGGCTCAGCGGTTAAGAGCACTGGCTGCTTGCTCTTCCAGAGGTCCTGAGTTCAATTCCCAGCAACTATATGGTGGCTCACAACCATCTGTAATGGGATCTGATGCCCTCTTCTGGTGTGTCTGAAGACAGCGACAGTGTGCTCATACATTAAATAAATAAATAAATATATATATATATATATAAATAAATAAATCTGAAAGAAAAACAAAACAGACATTGCTAAAATCTACAAACCAATGTTCATCCTGAATGAGGGTGTATAAAAATTCCTGATAAGAAACACTGACCAAGAACAGCATCCCTGAGTAAATCTAAAATGAAATCCAGGGCTTTGGGAAAAAAAAAGATCTCTAACTGGCAAACCTATTACTTCCTAAGACTTACCCGTGTTATGAAAAATATTTCCCCATTGCACAGCCGAATGCTACTTTCGAAATCCTGTTTGGTTTTAGCATCATCGTTAGGGGCATCTCCAAAGCCTTTCCCGTTGGCTTCCTGGTCACTGTCAGGGAGTAAATCTGCGAGGTACGCATTCCGGGTACAACAGATCTTATCGCCAACGGCAAAGATGAGTTTCTTCTCATGGTCTCTGCATTAGGTAGTGAGCACACACCATCAGGCCTGGAAGCTCCCACTTCCTTTTATCTATTAGCAACTTGGAGCTGATGTGAAATGATGTTTCTACATATCATTTCATTCTCCAAAGGTCAGAAATCAAGTGTTCATAACTGTCACCTGCTACATTCTTTTACATTCTGTAGGGGGTTGGTCTGGTATCACTATGGATTCAAATGCTATATACTGGCTCCCAAAATCTGGTTATTCCACCCACAAGGAGAGATGAGGAGATCCTTACATATGCCAGCTTTTGTGATATAAACCTTGCCCCCCGCCCAGGTTATCCTTGATTGGTTGATAAAGATGCCTTCAGCCTGGGGTAAAGAGAGGATGGAGCAAAGCTTCCCAAGCTTGGGGTCTGAGGCAGGGACAAGAGGAAGAAGGAAGGAGGTGGCCGTGGGGTAGCATGGATCCTGATCTCACAGCTGTGAGAGCCGGCCTGATGTTGCAGGAACAGCACAAATAAATCACAGCAAGTTAGGTCTTGGGGATTTTTGTCAGGAAGGTCGACAAACTAACAGAGACGGTTTATATTCACCCAGCTCTGGTGCTTTAAGGCTTATCATAAATCCAAAGGTCTCTGTGTCATTTATTTGGGATATTTGATGGCAACGAGGAGGGGTGTAACAAATCCCCCAAATAACATTTACCACCACAGCATTCACCCCGTCACCTCAAGCCCTTCGGACATGGCCCAGTTGAACTTTCTCAAGTTAGAGATGTTGATGTGGATGTTCTGATCTATCCACTTTCTAAACCAAAAGCCTTTTTTTTTTTTCTTTCATGCAAATTCACCCCCTGTCCACATTCTCCAGTTTCGGGTCTTAGAGTACTAACTCATATTTCCATAATAATTATGACACTGTTCCGCAAAAACAGTACCAAAGAATGGCAGCTTGTGCCAGTCAATGAATGGCAGATAGTGCCAGTCCCCGCGAAAGCACTCCTGGGTTTGTTTTTCATTCTGCTCTTACCTAACCGTGTGGGAGACTTCCCTGTCAGCAGCTTCATTTACACAAATAGAGAGATTCCCTGACAAGAGCAGAGCTACTAGGACCTCTATTACATGGGCCCATCCGAGCACCTTCTGAGTCCTCTGTCAGACTGCCCAGCACAGTGGTTTGTGGCAGAAGCTCCTATATTTTACACAGCCCCATGGACGAGCATGTGCTGTCAAATACAGGGCATATAAAACTGTTCTCTGCACACAGCCTGCTGTTCAGGCTCCTGGAAATGCCACACACGTGATACTAGAAATTCTCCTTATTCTCCATGTTGATCCTGAAGAGGTCGGAGGTTGCCAACCTGGACATCACAGAGAGATAATCATTCTTATTTTTCATCTTGCTCTATTTACGGTCCATGTCAATTCCTTTTTTTTTTTTTTAAAGATTTATTTATTTTATGTATATGAGTACACTGTCGCTGTCCTCAGACACACCAGAAGAGGGCATCCGATCTCATTTCAGATGGTTGTGAGCCACCATGTGGATGCTGGGATTTGAACTCATGGCCTCCGGAAGAGCAACCGATGCTCTTAACCGCTGAGCCATCTCTCCAGCCCCCATGTCAATTCCTAATGGTATATGACCCATTTAATTGAAGAGACTATTACGCTTCATAAGATGGGGGAAAGGGTATGACTTTTGAATGTGTGGCCCTGTGTGACAAATATCCATACAAATGGAAGAACGGTAAATCAAGGCACAGCCGTCCCCTACAGCGTCAGTTGGGGGGATGCTCACTTGATGATGTGGCCCGCGTAGTGCTTGCAGCAGCAGTCATTGATGAGGTCACAGTCTTGCCTGAAACACATGGAAATCAGAGTCACTTCAGCAGGACACATTGCACACTGGCTTATGTTTATAGACAATCATATACTGGGCCACTGGATTTTGTTACTTCTTGTTGTGATACCGGGAATTGAACTGACAGCTCTGTGCTTGCTACCCCTGCAGATATAGTAGATCCCATAAGACGTTTCTAGAACTTTCTCTAGGAAAAAGGATCTTTTTTGTTTTGTTTTTGTTTTTTGTTTATCAACACAAGGTTTCTCTGTGTAGTCCTGCCTGCCCTGGAACTTGCTCTATAGACCAGGCTGGCCTAGAACTCAGAGCTCCACCTTCCTCTGCCTCCCAAGTGCTAGGATTAAAGGCATGTGCCACCATGCCCAACCTGGAGGGAAAAAAAAAGTATTTTATAATTTTAACCTTCAGATAAAATTTTGTTTTACTCGAACTTCCTGTGAGAATATAAGCATGCCTGACAGAAAAGAGCCCTGTTCAGAATGCCTTCTGATGTGTCTAATGAAAAGATATTTCACTGGGCAGTGGTGGTGCATGACTTTAAACCCAGCATTTGGGAGGCAGAGACAGGTGGATTTCTGAATTCGAGGTCAGCCTGGTCTACAGAGTGAGTTCCAGGATACGCAGGGCTACATAGAGAAACCCTGTCTCGAAAAAACCAAAAAAAAAAAAAAAAAAATATTTCAAAGACTAAGAAGGAATAATGAGAGATTACATGTATCTCCCCTAAATACAATGTACGTTAATACCTTACGAAGCTTAAAAGCTAGATAAAGTACATTAACACATTATAAACGTTTTACCTTCTAAATGCAATAAATTGCGATGTTTTTGAACATTCAAAAGCGCAGAAGTCCTTTCCTTGAAGCAAAGTTTTAACTGCGGAATATAAATCTGTCAAAGAGAAAAAGGTTAATACAGAAAAATTGCTAAGTTGCAATGCTATTTCTGTGGAAAAAATTAGCTAGCAATTCCTACTAAGCAGTGCAGGTCAAACATCTCACCATGTGCAATACAGGTCATCATGGGAATGCCTACGTCATCCTTGACACAGGCCGTAACAGTGCCAAGACCACGGAGACAGGTTTCACCCCCTGAGGTGCTGGTCGTGGCCCCTTAGAGGTGAGCATCTTAGAGGTCAGCACATACGGGTATCACCATACACGGAGCTGGTATGCACCACTTTGCAATACTAAGATGCTGCCATATTGGCTCAAAAGTGCCCACTGGCCTAACACCACACTACCTCATTCACCTCAGCTTTCTCTCTCCTCCCGTGCCCCAACCTCCCACAATTCAGCTGTTAACACAATACTATCCCGACAGGCATGTGCTGTTATGCCCAGCTCACTACCCCATGTTTGGTTGTTTTTCACAGTTGTTGTTTTATAGCTAGGGTCTAGCTTGGTCTATATGAGAGAGGCTGGGGGATAAGAGGTTCAAGGTCAGCCTCAGCTGTAGAGCAAATTCAATGGCAGCCTAGGCAACGTGAGGTCCTGTCTCAAGAAAAAAGGGGGGAGGGGGATAGGAACACTGCAGGGTTTTGTGTATCATCTAGTAGCCGGTGAATCATGGAGTTCTGTGGTGCTGTTCTAGAAAGACAAAGTCAGCTCCTCACAGGGCCCTTCATTTCTTCTATATATGTATGAAGTATATATATAAAGATACTCTCCAGAAAATGGCTGACCTCACATCTCTGCTCCCAGTCAAACAGAGCAGAAACTTCCAAAGGTCTTCCCTTTTGCACCTCTTCTTCCTCTCTGTCTCACAGGTCCTCGTCCACCGGGCATTTTATTTATTCTACAATACACGTTTTAGCATCTCTGAAATTCTAGCCCAGTTGTGGACCCTGTCTTGGGTCTCTGCAATTTGTAACAATGGGTACAACTTTATTAATGAAAAAGTGCTATTTGCCTCTCTAAGGACTATTTGCCCAATTTTCTTAAGGAAGAGACTGATTTTCCAGCAAAAACATTTAATTAAAACAGAATCAGCGTCACTGACACTCTGAAACAGACAACTTCTTTTTCTTTTGAAAGTACATTTTAATGAGCTGGTCATGATAGCATGGGCTATCCCATGGACTAGGGAGGTGGAGACAGAAGAATTAGGAGTTCAAAGTTAGCTTGAGGAGACCTGGCTCACTCAAACAAAAAGCACATTCTCTTTAATACACAGAACAGGTCCCAAAATAAACAATGCTTTGGTCATGGTATCTGTTCACAGTGGTAAAACCCTAACTAAGACAACAACTATATTCAAATATAATTATTTTTCATAACCAATTTAATGATATTTATTAGTACTTATATAGTGTTTCCTAACATGGATGCACCCCTAGCTCCCCAGACACCAAAATCCTTACACTTACTTCACACATGGTGAAGTGACTTGAGTCACGTGCTTAAACAACCTATCCCACACTCCTTCTCAACCCTGAGAAGCTAACAGTGTAAAACCCAAAATTACATGTGGTGTTAACTAACAGTAATGCACTCAAAGAAAGTAACAAGAATTTTTCATTAAATAAAACGTAACTTTCTCCTGAAGAGACTGAGATTGCCAGGGCTCTGTAAACAAAGTCATCTCTGGCCACTTACCAACTCTTCAAGTATTTAATGAGAGTCCTTACACTGTGTCAAGAATTTCCTCAGAAACTACTAGAATAGCAGTACTCAACCTATGAGTCATAATACCTTTGGGGAGGGTCAAACAACCCTTTCATAGGGGTCTCCTAAGACCACAGAAAACATAGACTTTTATATTATAATTCATAACAGTAACAATATTACAGTTACAGTTACATGAAGTAGCAACAGAAATAATTTTATCGTTGGGGGTCACGAGTAAAAAGGGTCACAGTGTTAAGAAGGTTGAGAAGCACTACTTTAGAGTAATCTGCCTTTCAGAATTCTTAAGTTGTTTATATTTGCAGTACTCCAGTTTTCACTAGCAAGACCTACCTTTAGCATCGAGTAAGACACAGCTAGTCATTTGATAACAATATTACAAAACTGAAATACTTCCGTGCAAGCCAACATAAACACTTACTAGATCGGTGTTCACCTTTAGACTGAGAACTGGGGTCCTCTTCAGGAAGTCTCACAAAAATAAATGTCTTATCTTGAATGGAGAGGGGTAACGTAGGATTATCAGAGATACTTAGTTCTGCATCAAATTCTGGAAACTGACGTCTGGAGATTCTTAAAGAAAAAAAAAACATGTGTGTATGTGTGTATCTGAGTGTGATGTGTAAATGGTTGCCAGGACACATAGCACATATCCTCTGGTGTGTCACAAAGATCCTTCAGTCAGTAATATTGGAGGACAGTGATGAAATGAATGACAGAGACACTGCTTAAATTAAAGGGTACTGAACAGGTGGCTAAGGAAAATGCCTGAGTTTTAGATAAAGCCCAATTCTGACTGAATAAGTCTTCATTTCTTCCGGGCTTGACGGACTTGAAATGGGTCTATCAAAAACGAGCACTGACTGCTCTTCCAGAGGTCCTGGGTTCAATCTCCAGCAACCACATGGTGGCTCACAACCATCTGTAATGGGGTCTGACGCCCTCGTCTGGTGTGTCTGACAGTTACAGTGTACTCACATACATAAAATAAATCTTTAAAAAGAAATCTGAGATAGCAACAGAAAAACTTCAGGAAAACAATATTATTCACCCAACTCCAATATTCTTGAGGTTCTGACAAGAGTCCACAACAACTACCCCATCCCTACCATTTCCACCAGAGTTCCATCCAGAGTTGACAGGGACATATTAAAGTATAGTTTGATATGTTCAAGGTTCTAGTGACATTCAACTGAACATATGAAAAAAATAGCAAAAAACAGAGTTCACAAAAGAGACAAAAAAGGTAAAATGTGACACAACCATCTCTTAGTATCCATGGTCCCATCATGCCTATAGATCTTAATAGCTTCTCAAGTCACAGAAGAGCAATGGTCCTGATTCTCCAGCACACAGAATATGGAAGAAGGCCAAAGGCATATGCAAACACTGGGGAAGAGAGCTAGCTCTTTTCCACTGAGGAGCAGATGCCTGGGGGCCACCAGGACTCACCTCAGAGTCAAATCCTGTATCTGCCCCCGCCTTGGGCTGTCCACACACAGAAATTATTAGAAAGTTCTTTTCCAATGCTCCTTTGAGAATAAGATTCATTTCTAAGTCTCTGTTGCCTTGGGCAGAGTCCAGACTTAGCACACCTTAATTCCAGTACAGCTATCCCTGTGTGTTACCTGCAGGGTGATTTCAGAATCTCCTGATAAGTAGATGCTCAAGCCCTTATATAAAATGGCACAGTAGTTTCTTATAACCTACGTAAACCTTCTTGTTTATTTTAAATCATCTCTAGGTGATCGGTGACACCTAATGCAAAGTCAAAGCCGTGTAAACGGTCAGTACAGGGCATCATTTAGGAGCTAACAAAGGACAGGATCTGTACATGGTCAATGCACGTGCAATATTTTAATTTCTGGCTAGTTGTGTGCATATTTAGGGAACACACAACCAAGAGAATCAGATGTATATATTCTTAAAGATGAGAAATATATCCATCCTTACATTTTAACGATAGCTTATGCTGGGCCAGCAATGAAAGATACCAACCTTGGTTTTCTAACTGTGGCAATAGGCATATACTTAAAAGATAGAAAAGGGTTTGTGATGGTTTGTATATCTTTGGGCCAAAGAGTGGCACTATTAGGAGGTGTGGCCTTATTGGAGTAGGTGTGTCACTGTGGGTGTGGGCTTTAATACCCTAGCCCTAGCTGCCTAGAGAGGAGTATTCTGTTAGCAGCCTTCAAAAGAAGACATAGAACTCTCAGCAGCTCCTACACCATGCCTGCTTGGATGCTGCCATGATACTGGACTAAACCTCTGAACCTGTAAGCCAGCCCCAATTAAATATTGTTCTTATAAGAGTTGCCTTGGTCATGGTGTCTGTTCACAGCAGTAAAACCCTAAGACAGAAGCTGGTACCAGGGACTGGGGTATTGCTAAAAAATATAGTAAATGCATTGTACTAAATCATCCTTTATTCCTAATACACTTCATCCCCAGTACAACAGAGATAAAAATACAAGAACATCAATAGGTGATACCTTGTAGCATTGTCTACAATCAGCTGAGACTCTGTCCTGTGGTTTGTCTTTAGTTCGATGGCACACTGTCTTGACTTAAGAGTCTCAAAAACATCCTTCAGCATGTTACCAGGTTCAATACTGGGTAACTGTCTAATATCACCTAAAGGGATGGGGGCGTTAAAAAAAAAAGATTTTTATTTAATTAGGATTCTAAAATACATACATAATTTTTATTCTGCTGATTTGGCACACAGTGTAATTGTAGACCTTCAGTAACTTAGAAAGAACCTCCGAAATCTTTATTTAAAATTATTTAAGAATGTTAACTATCCTAGAAGCTAGGAGAGGGAAGGGGGAGGGGCATGTGACATAAAAACATGTCTGAAAACATAACAAGGTGACAAGTTTTTAACTGATCTCCTTTCGTAACTGTGACCCTGGAAAGCCACAGGGAACATATGTACCTCAAAACATGTTTAAAAATCAGACCTCAGCTATCTTGTACGTGGTCACTCTGCACGTTATTCACTGTGTCCTTGTGTTACAGAACGCAGGGGAGCCTCACCTGCATAAAACAAGCCGACTAAACAAAAAATGAATGAGATGAACCAAAGCAAAAACAAATTCCAGCTGGCCGATGACAGCATGGGACACAAAAACCAAACTCTGGAGAAAAGAGAACTCTCTGCTGAGTGACAACTGGGTGAGCACTTACGATGTTAACAGGGTCGGCTGCTCAGCCAACATCCCCAGATGCCTAAAATAAATGGTGTTTATGTACAATCCCACCACAATTAAATCACAGAATCGACTGCTCACTAAAACTCTACAGAATCTAACTAAATCTCACCAGATTAAGCGGCTGGCGAGGCCTAATTTGAATTATTAGCTTAGAATCATAAAATTACTGTAAAGTGGCCTATAATTCAGACTTTTTATTATTTCCAAATGATCTACATCCTGATCTATTCTGACTCCAACATTTTTACTATTTTAATAGCCATTACTCAAGCAATAAGCAGTAACTTAGCACGCCCCGTCTCGTTCATCCTTGCTTGGTGATACCCTGGCCAGACAACCCACCCAGGCTGGTAAGGATGGCAGGCAGACTTAACTCAGTCACTTTGCTACGGGCTGTGAGAAAAGCTTCCCATTTCCAGTAAACCAAAGCCTGGCGTGACATCCACAACAGCACCCGCAGAGCTTTCACGGAACGTGCAGACCCTGGCGGTTTAACTCACCAAGGATTATTAGCTTAGACAGTTTGGCGTGTTCACACAGTAACTTCAAAACTGATTTGAAGATTCCTACAGACACCAAACTCCCTTCGTCCACAACCAGAACTCGAACTGTAGAGAATTTCCATGGCTTGTCTACTTCATTTTTCTTCCACATATAGAAGCTGTAATTGACCTGTAAGTAAAGCATGCATATAAAAAAAAAAAAAAAGAATCAGGTTAGAACTAACAAGCATGTGGTTTTAAAATAAAGCTTACCTTATGGGTGGGAGGGCATAACAAATGGAAAGAAAAAGCAAACACGGTATCACGGTATAGAACATTCTATTTACAGGGATGAACACACACACACACATATACACACTCACTCACACACACACACTCACACACACTCTCACATATACACACTCACACACACACAAAAAAATGAACTTTTAAAATTTCAAACTGTAAAAGGCTCAAACAGTTTAAAAAAAAAAAGAAAAAAATAAAGAAAAGAAAAATGTTTCCTAGTGAGGCTTGAGTTTAACTTAATAATAATCTTCAAAGTTTCCCCTTGCAGCCAGCAGTGGTGGTGCACACCTTTAATCCTAGCACTTGGGAGGCAGAGTCAGGCAGGAGGCTAGCCTGGTCTACAGAGTGAGTTCCAGGATAGCCAGGGATACACAGAGAAACCCTGTCTAAAAAAAAAAAAAAATCTATTTCTTTTCTTTCCCAACTTCTCCCACTGGGAAAAAAAAAAAAAACTATTTCTTTTCTTTCCCAATAAACCTCTTGGCTTTCTGAGCTCTTCCAATTCTCTCTCTCTCTCTCTCTCTCTCTCTCTCTCTCTCTCTCTCTCTCTCTTTACTAAGTCTTCTTTCAAGTATCCCAAACTTCTGACCGCCACCCTGTAAAACCACAACCACTAAGAAAAACAATCCAGCTAATAACAGTGCTGATAATATGATTATTTTTAAAATAGATGACTCAATAAGATAATGTCAAAATACTAACTGTTAAAGCTCAAAAACACCCAGCCGTAACTTTGTTTCCAGTATTCTACAATACACAGACCTCTTTCTGATCAGTTGTTGCCTGAACCCTCAGCAGTCTACAAACGAACGAACACCCTCCCCAATGTCTCCAGAAAGCATTCCCCTAACAAAAATGCCCACTTCCTCACCGAAGCTTCCTAGAGCGTTAGAGTTCTTCCAAACACACGGAAAGAACAGGATGGCTCAGGATTCTGTCCCTCAAGTCCTTCCACCATTATCACCCGTGAGGGACTCACTCTTGCAGCCATATTGAATCATTTCAAACTTTTGGTAAGTGACTATTGGCCAGATGCAAGAGATGAAGAACAAGCTTTGCTACAAGGAGCTTTGCATTCTATCATAGAGAAATGTCTTCTTCCATCGCCAGTGCTCCAGCCAACAGGGACACTCTTTGTGACCAGTCCCCACAAGATAACCTATCATGCAGAGAGCTAAACTATACCATTAGGCCCATACTTTGATTCCCCTAGCATTTACTTATGAATAAGCACTTTCTGAGCCTGTGTCCACTGTCTCGCTGCAAACTGGAATGCTTACAGAGAGACTGTCCTGAGGAGGACTGATCTAAATGATTAGCTACTACAGAATAAAAACACCAGAGACTTTTAACAAGAACAGTAAGCCCCATTAGCCATGGGAGATAAGCTCCAGGAAGGGTAGTGAACCCTCAGATGAGTAGGGAGATACTGCAAAAGCTCATCTGATGGCAGAAACGGCCATCAAGCGCCGAACGGGCAGGTAGCTTATGCAGCATGGGTACCTTGCAGAAAGGTAAGCCCCATCCCCGGCAGGACTGGATGAAATCAGGTGAGATCCCACCCCAGTGCTCAGTATACTGGGCGGTTAAACTCGACAAACTGATTTCTTTTCTGAGTGTGAACAGCGAGGGCAGAGCAGCCAGAAAGGTTAACTCATGTGGTTTCCACAGCTTGTGATCCCCAGGGACCTCCTTCCCGGCAGGATTTCCCCTCTATCATAGCTGAGTCAACCCAAACGGAGCTCCAGAGAGACCTGGAATGCCAGAAGGACTTAGTCAGCAACAGGCGCAGAAGGACTTAGTCAGTCCACGAACTGGGAGGTAGCAGCCTGAGGCAGCATAGCAGAAATATCCTGAAGAAGGAAGTGCCCGTGCTGGATGCATCCAACATGGCGTTTAAACGTCTGGGTCCTGTGCTCATCTGTCAGGAGCTGAGATAAGATGCTGGATTTTATCACAGACGAAACTCGGTGCTATGAATCCCAGCGTTGAAACTGGGAACAGCAGAGCAGTGGAGGGGTACCCTTTGCTCAGCTGTAGAAGTCTAGAGGAGCCAGGCAGCAAAGGCAGGGGCTCCTGGGAAAGTCTGACATGGTGGGGAGGCGTGTATGAGAGGGGACAGAGAATGGGGCAGGTGGACCGTGTAGTGTAAAACCCCCTGGGGAGGACTTATAAACTCTCGAGTCTGGGAGTATTAGTCAGTAGTAAAGTATTTGCCTGATATGAAAAAGATCCCGAGTTTTATCTCCCACGTGAAAATAAAAAGAAACACTTGACAGGCTGATTACTTCCGAATAAGGCGCGAAGATGTCTTGGGGAAAATGTTTTATCTGCAGGCAAAACTGTCAGAGGTTTTACCTGACACAGTGTGTAAGCCGGAAGCTCGGTCTTCTGCCTCAATAAGCCAGCTGCCTTCCCTGTAGGTGCGGTGAGCAAAACTTCTATAGCCTTGTCCACCCCGGCTGGACTCTGCTTAGGAAAGGCAAGCCATTCTTCTGAGGCTTCCTGGTCTTGTTCAAAATCTTCACAGGCTCGCTGCACTTCCCTTTCTTCCAGCTGCTCCACATGCTTAAAAAGACGGCTAACAATGGTGGTCTTCCCACAGCCGCCTTTCCCGCTGAGGACAGTCACCGCATTGGTGCAGATGGTTTCCAGGGCGACCACCTGATCTCTATCCAGTGGGACGTCGTTTATTTCTGCATTCGCAACGTAGTCGCCATTGCTCCTAACATGATCACCGCTGTCTTGGGCGTCTAAAACACTGGCACCCTGATCTGACCCCACCTCATCTGGCTTGTTCCCTTCCACTGCCTCAGCACTTCCTGGATCGCGAGGCTTCGCGCCGCTAATTGACGCCAGGACGTTCTTCACGTCCACTTTCAAATGCCACGGGGGTTTGTTCATCAGCTCGCATATGGAGGAGGCGATGTCTTGCTCGGCCTGGTACAGCTCATGAAGAAAGACGCAGTCCTTCTCAAAGGTGACCACGCCAATGTCCCTCAGAAACTCCAGAGACTGACATGCTTTCTCAAATGACATATGGTCTGACAAGCCCGAGGTCAAATCTTTTACTTCTATGTATGTGTGCCCGTCTTCTCTGCATGTCTGCCTCAGCTTAGAATATAAGACCAATGCATTCTTCTGTTGGGTCGTCATCAGCCGGAGCAGTGAAGGGCACTGACTGAACGCCATCCAGCTGGCCTCACAGCGCAGCAGGTTCAGTTCTGTGTAGGTTATCTGTAGGGAAAGAGAGTTCAGGATACCTCACACAAAGGATCCATATAGACAGATGGGTTATATATAGCTATAGTTGAAACTTTGCCATCTTAAACATTTCCAAGATATAAATACATACACAAAATGTGGGGGACAAAAAGGTTATATAGCTAACACATCAAAAATGATTTGGTTTTTTTTGGTTTGGCTTGGTTTTGTCATAGTTGTTTTGTTTTGTTTTTTTTTTAAACTGCCTTGTAGTTAGGCAGTTCTATAATTTACAAATCAGTCTCTGATGTCAAACAACGCTACATGGCTTAATGCACACACGTATACACACGCAGGCATCCCCTGGTTTATTCTTTGCCGGGTCTCCTACAGGCAACAACACTAACGACTTCTTCCTCCAGAACTGACTCGCACATAGGAACCCTCATCCCTTTCCTCCACTCCTTAAGAACCCTGTAAGATAACAATTATTAAATCTCTACTGTGGATAAGAGCCTGTGCCCTCCTCTAGACACAGGCTTCCGTTCTTGTCTGAAGAAACAGCTGTAGCACACACTTAATTAATCAGTTCAGTGAAATCAGAGTGTAACACGCAATATGTAAGAGTCCCAGCAGAGAGGCAGCCTGCACTAACATCGCATTTGCAGGGGCCTTAGCACATATTGGAAGCGAATGGTTGCCTTACTTTCTTGGCTTCCTTGGTTTGCCATGGGTCTATTGATAATTCTTCCCAAATGCCACAAAGGAGGCATCTCACCCTATTATCTTTCACCTCTATCATCTTCACGGAGATGCCCTTCTTGGGGCCTCCGTTCCTTTTACAGACTGCCGAGTGTTCTCTCAAAAGTCAAACACTGAAGTCCTTACTGTCTCAGAATGGGACTCCATTTGGAGACAGGGCCTTTTAAGAGGTGATTGCATGTTCAATAAAACCACAATACTAATGCTAGTATCAGGGTGGGCCTGAAGTTCCTAAGACTGATGCCCTTCGATGAAAGAAAACAGCACACCCAAGTAAACAAGCAAGCTACGCTTAAATGCCCCAGGTAGAACAACTCCTGCAGTAAAGAGACCGGACACAAATAACCTATGTCTCCAGTGGTTCAGACTGGGAAAGGGGAGAGGGCGTTGCAGAGGAGAATGGAGAACGGACTCAACAGAGTCCCAAGAACTGTTGTCCTCAATGAGATTGACAAATGACAGCTGAGTGGCAGAAAAGCAAGTCACACCACGTGACATTAAATGACCAAATTAACAGCAATAATCTGAACAGCATACGCCTCGATATTTTGTTTTCTGTTGATGATTCAATTGACTTATTTACTGACTCTATCCTCAGGTCAGAATTACAGACCTAAGACATTTCTGTCAAGCTGTAACACGCAAGAGAAGAAATCCCAACACTAAATCCATATATATTCTCCACGGAAAGAAATTCAAACGTTGCCAAGTTTGAAGAACTCTGCCTTATATAGGATTTTGAAATGCAGAACTGGGGGTCTCACTTACTCTTCTGAAGCCAAGCTTCCATGGTTCTGTACCCAGAATCTCTTCTATGCTTCCCAGCACCCAATCAGAACACAAGCTGATGAGCTTGCTGAAGTGTCGAGGAAAAAGCACTGGAAGGAACTCCATGACTTTGGGGAACCGCAAAGCTGCCATTGCAGTTATAAACGGGACTGCAGGAGAGATCAGGAATAAGGAAATCAACACACACAAGTGAGCCCCACAGATGGACTGGGGGGGGTGTTTTCTCTCTTAGTATAATCCGCTGAGGACACCTAAATCAGAAGGACTATTCAACTTACCTGAAGCACTAAGAAAGTTAATAAAACAATTTCTACCAAGGTCTCTTCTTCCTTTGTTATAAACAGTAAATTTTCTATTGTTATACACTTCACACTCTAGTCTTTTGTTTTGTTTGCAATATAATCATAAATAAACCTTGAATGCATCCTGTAACAGTAAATTTAAAACCAAGCACAAAACCAATCACTTACATATTAGCCTTTACATTTTCCCAATTGTAACTCTGACTCTTTCAACCCCGAAGTCATTGGGTGTGATGCAAAATCCATCTGTTTTCATGAAGAAAGAAAATTCTTTCTGTATATGGATGTCCAGATTGAAAACCACAGTTTGATGCTATTTTAAGTCATTTGGAATTGAAATATTTCTGAAGTTCCAAAGCTTTCCTTTCTTGTTAGTCTTCTTAAAAACAGGAACTGGGTTCTGTTTTAATGACTCAGAGTGCTCTCCACAAACTCAAAAGTCAAGAAACAGAATCACAATTTCAAGGTGGAAGGCCCGAATCTTGAAGATCACCATATAGAATTCATGTTGCAGGGGAGGAACACCAAAGGCAACCCAACATTTTCATCAAACTGACTTCCGAGAGGACCCAGGCATGGTCAAACTTATGATGTTGTCACATAAAAGGTTATGTCTTAAAACCAAACAACTAAGTCACAATGAAATAAATATAAATATATAAATACATCTCATATTTTTTTGTTTTTGTTTGTTTTGTTTTGTTTTTCGAGACAGGGTATCTCTGTGTAGTCCTGGCTGTCCTGGGACTAGTTCTGTAGACTAGGTTGTCCTAGAACTCAGAGATCATCTGCCTCTGTCTCCCAAGTGCTGGGATTAAAGGTGCAGGCCACCACTGCCTGGCTAAACATCTTATCTTGAATAATGTTATTTTCCCTTGAACCGTGTTCATGGCTGTCTCTAGCCACATATGGCCTGCAGGCTGTGACAGATATGTGTCCTCAACCTGAAATGCTTGTGAGAAATATTTGGGTCTTTTTTTTTTCATAATTTAGAATATTTACCTATAAGAAGGCACAAGGATGAGACCTAAGCCTAAATATACAGCCCATTTATTTCTCATATGCACCTTAAACACAGAGGCTGAAAATAACACTGTAAAAGGTTTTAATAATTTTTGTGGATCAGACAGAGTTCATTCATAGGGATCAGAAAATGTCACCTATAGCGCCTAAAGATAATTTCTTTCTCCAATACTTTTAATTAGGTTAAATGTTTTAATTTATATGAAAATATAGTTAAATTGATGGGTGTTAGGGCTAGAATTTCAAAGTGTTCATGCGTTATGAATTCTTCTGGATGTAGGGCAGATGCTTTGGTATTAAGCTACACTGTGATTATTCCAAACACACTTTCGAGTATGCTTACCTTCTTACGACTTGTCTCCTCTCAGAAACTAGATATTAATGTATCGTGTATGATCTAACTCATTTAATTTGAGGAGGGTGACGGGCGGTATGTACGTATTTCATTGTTCCATTCCATTAAGCTTTCTACTCTAAACTTACTACTAAACCCTCCTTTATCCTTTAGTTCATTTCATAAAGGGTTTCCTTAATGTCCTTTTAAAAGAAAACATAGCCCATTTCTTCCCATCTCATTGGCTACACCTTGACCTAACGTTTTTATGTTTATTCTTGTATCTTTTTAGGGTTTGCTGAAGATGGCGGTATATAGGCTGAATTAGCATGAGATGGTGAGGTGCAGCGGGGTTTATCGATTACAGAACAGGCTCCCCTACACGGATATAAAGTACTGCCAAGTCCTTTGAGTTTTAAGCAGTGGCTAGTAGTTCTCTGGCAAATATTTTTGTTATTTAATTATTTAAGTTTAGGGCTAAGCATAGTGGGGTATCTAATCCCCGTTTGGATCTTAGCTATCGTGTAAATAAAAATTAGAATTACTTTCGTTATTGAGTTTAGGCCCTAGCAATGAATTTTCACATATAAGTTGGATTTTAATTCTATTAGTTTTAGTTATAATTGTCATGTTTTACACCGAGAATAATTAGTTTGGGTTAATTGTATGACCCATGCTCAGGAAGTTTTACATTAGGGAACATTTCAGAATTGCTGATTAAAGATGCCCAATTTATCCTGTGGAGGGACGGCAAAATTAAGAGTCGAAGCACCCCAGTCCCTGAATGTCTGGACAACACAAAAACTCACGCATAAAAATCCTACTTACATGATTTTTCCACTTTCAGCTCACCATCCTGGTCATGTTGTGTAGACTGCTTTTTATCTTTCTTTTCGGTTTCTCTGCAGAAATTTCTTAACATTTCCCGAAGATTTTCAAAGTTTAGATTTTCAAAGCTTGACACTTCATCTACCCATTTTAAAAATGCCTGTATGCGCTCAGGGGCTAAGTTGCATTCTTTAAGAAAAAGCGAACAGATATGTTTTTGACCTGGTGGCGACATATCAGCCTGCAGAAAGTAGGACGGAAAGCCTTGAACTTGATAGCTCTTGGATCTCACCGGTTTCACGACCTGGACTTTGACGCGCCACCACGGACCTTTGAGTGGGAAACGTCCATACACGGTACATTTCTCTTTTGTATTTTCATCGGGAATAGACACTAAATGAGAGGGGGAGATAACAGGAAATTTGCAAAGGTTTCCCTCAACATTTACCTCTCTCTGATCTCACACATACACACAGGCAGCACCCATAAAGACATCCGCTACCTGTAACACTTCACTCTGCCCGTTTCTCTGGCTGACTCCCTATCTACAAAGGATGTTGTACTCTGGAAGTAAGCACGATGCAAGCCATGGATCTGTTCTTCTTTTATTTTATTTTATTTTTTTATTATATGTAAGTACACTGTAGCTATCTTCAGACACCCCACAAGAGGGCATCAGATATCATTACAGATGGTTGTGAGCCACCATGTGGTTGCTGGGATTTGAACTCATGACCTCTGGAAGAGTAGTCAGTGCTCTTAACCACTGAGTCATCTCACCAGCCAGGATCTGTTCTTCTAAATCCAGTTTATCTACCACCATCCCCTTAGCCAGTATCAGCCTTTATATAGGACTTAAAGAATTTACCATGGTGCCTCCTTTTGCAGAAAGTTGTTCAGAGGTACTTGCTTCTCCTGGCTGGTTCCTATAGTTACTGCAGAGCTCAGCTCAGCTGACTTCTTCAGCAAAGCCTTGTCTAAATCTCATGGATATCACTTCTTCAAGTGCTGTCTGGTACTAAGTACTAAGTTGTGGCTACTCCTCTGATTAAAGAACGTCTGCCTAGGTGCTATAGAGATGACTCAGCCATTAAGAGCACTGGCTGCTCTTCCAGAGGTCCTGAGTTCAATTCCCAGCCACCACATGGTGGCTCGGAACCATCTGTAATGGGATCTGATGCCCTCTTCTGGTATGCAGGTGTACCTGCAGATAGAGCACTCATGTACATAAAATAAATAAATCTTAAAAAAAAAAATGGCTGCTTAATTCATGAGTAGTATTTCCACTGAGAAGGCAACTTCGTCATTTTCTCTCCCTGGCCTATCCCAGTACCAAATGCTTGGCTAGGATAGCAAGTTACAACATGTAATCCTTCGTGTTTAAAGTCAAACACAGCTATAGTTATGTTTAAGGTGCCAATAGCCACACGTGGTCAACAGCTATTACTGTACTAGACCATGCAAATACAGTGTGTGTGTATGTGTATAAATGTACGTGTGTATGTGTATGAACATGTATGTCTGAATGTGTGGGTATATACATATATATATATCTATATATATATGTGTGTGTGTGTGTGTGTGTGAATGTGCATGAGTGTGTTTATGTATGCGTGTATGTGCTGTATGTGTAAATTTGTGTATGTGTATATGTGTGTGTGTGTCTGTGTAGCCCCATGCTTCCACGCGCACGTTCGTTGTCTCAAAGTTGTGAGACAACTCCATCTCTGATTCAGCCAGTGTAGTTTAGTAATTAAAAGATTCTGTTTCTGGGTGGGAATAAAAGCACGAATCTATTTCCTCGACTGTAAAACTACCTCCAACTGTTAACTGTAAATGAGATGATATATGTCAAAACCAAGCTTAACACAGTATGTGCCATTGCCACAGTTACTACCACATCTTAAGTTGAAGGTGAAGTTAAGGTGAAGCTGCCAGCCACACCACAGGTCTGTCATCTGCACTGGACGCCAGGCGCCCGGGCAGTGAGAATCGAAAATACTTCTTTGAACCCTGCCAGCCCGGCCTAGCTGGCGCTCGCTCACCTCTCATGCGCCCAGGGAGGCTGCCCGCCTTGATGCCCCCGCTGCAGAGCTCCTCCGCATCCACAAACTCCGAGTCCTGCTCCCCCTCCTCCTCCTGAGCACAGTCCTCCTCGTCGTCGCTCTTATAGGGGTGCAGAGGGCCCAGCAGCTCGCGCAGAACACCCTGCCCAGCCATCATCTTCTCTGCGAACTGAGTCCAAAACAACTCTACAAACCCAGGCGCGGTATCCAAAACTGCAACCAATCAGCTCTGCCAGGGGAAAGCAGGTCCGCTTCCGGGAACATCCTGGAGGAAGGTGGCATGGGGGCGTGGTCTGAGCGATGCTCCGCCCCAAGGGGAGGGCTAGTGACATAGGCTGGACTCGCAGGCTGGGTGGGTGCCCTCCTGGAGGTGCCACTGCGGACCGGCTGCTGACTGTTTCAGAACTGCTCTTTTCAGAGATGCTGGGCGTTTACTGCGGGGAGGGTAACGCGGTGAAAGGTCACGTCTCTTGGGCGCAGAGAACCCCGGGAAAGCGAGGCATCCGCTGCTCGCCCTTTTAAAGAGAACACATCAGAGGCCTCTAAAGACCTTGGGGCGCCACCCAAAACACAAGAGTGAATCTCTAATCCAGAGAGCGTGGTGGCGACGGCTGGGTACCTCCTTACATGTAAAAGCGCCTCAGGGAAGTTGAATTTACATCACCTAGGGCATTGATCCAGGTAGATTTCGAGGCCCCTTTGTATACCCTGTGCATTGGGAGTTAAAGTTGTGGTGTACTTTCTTATTTTAATGCATGGCCTGGGTTGTCCATGTTTATGCTTTACCTGCTTTGGAAACCACTGGGTTTAATAGCTTTCGAAGCCCTTTCACCTTTTCCAGTTTATAAACTACTACTCTCCTTGACTTCTTAACGCTAACCTAGTTCCTGTTTTCAGTAAAGCAAGAGGTGGGGTCTTGTAGCCCAGAGAATACACGTAATTGAGATAGGAAATAAAGAACAAAAAGAATGATGCAAAAACTGAATACTGTGGCCAAGGTTCTTCTCTAAATGCAGGGACAGTATTTAAAAGTCACAGTGTCCTTTGAGGGGCGCGATAAAATACTATTTTACTTTGTGGTTATTGTTTATTATGTAATTACCCCAATGTTAATCCTAAGAACTCTAATGTCTTACTAAACCCCAAAACTGTGGTGCTGTATTCTAATAAAAGCACTTGTCATACCCAAATGTCACGTGCATAAGATCAACCATCTGCAGGTCAAATACACGTTTAAGTGAAATTCTATTTGTAATGGCATCTTTCATTTAGATTCCTTTTTTTTTTTTTTTGTAATGTGCGTGAGTCTTTTGCTTGCATGTGTGACTGTGTGCTATGTGCGTGCCCAATGCAAAGCTTCCCCTGCAGTTGGAGTTACAGACAAGATACTGAGTGGCCACGTGGGTGCTGGGAATGGACCTAGGTATCTGGAAGAGCAGTTAGAGCTCATAACTGCTGAGCCATCTCTCTATCCCTCAGACAGTTTCCTTGCCATTCCCTGAACAATGCCGAAAACTATTTCTGTAGCCTTTTCCCTCGTATCTGAGGAGGTCAGAAATCAACCTCCCACAAATGCAGAGGGGCTGTAGTATAAGCAACCTTTGAGAAAAACTGAACTAATCTTCTCCTAAGGTATACTGGTAAATAGTCCTGGTAGAAAAACTTTGTTGCCAAGAACAAGCCCAATGTTTCCAAGGCTTTGCTACACAGTTTGAATCCTTACGCTTTAGGTATCCAACCAGAGACAATTGTCTTGCTTAGTTGCCTATTTAACATATCAGTGCTACCTGGCTCCCAGGTTCTCCCAGCATCCCTTAGCCCTTGCCAGTTACAAGGTATGGCTAGCATACTCCGCCCCCTACCCTGAACTTCTCCAGCCCCGGGGGCTGTGCCGCCCTTCCCTGTTTAATCCCGCCACTTGTTTACCCTGTACTCTCCATTGGCCACGTGGCCTGGGCCGCCTTGGTGGGCACCTCCTTCTTGCTCTTCCTCCAACCCCCACCTGTCTCTCAAGGTCCAGTTTAGTCTGCTGGCCATGTTTAGCCTGGACGCTACCCCCCCTTCCTTATACAATACAAAATCTTCTCCTTACTTTATTATTCATTCACTTCCTTCACACATGGTTATTGTTACTCCAATACAGGTTTCAGCAGAGGATATCTTTTAGCCTGCGTTTTACCTGAACTCTCGGAAATATTTGGCACCAATAACTATGGTATCTATGGTAACCATAGTATGTTTGAAGGCCTGACTTCTGCCTCTTCCCTTCTCAAGTTTTCCTCATGCCTGTCTTGTGGGTTACATTCTCATCCATCTTAAGCTTCTCTGCCGGCCTCCTTATTGGTGTTCCCCTGTATTTGTTCTCTGAAATTCACCCCTCAAATATCTGTCACCCACATGCTCATGACTTCTCTTCCGTGACCTCCTCAGTAAAAGATGGAGTTTGGGGAGCACCTCCTCATCTGTGCCTAGGTTTGCCTGGATGCATCCTGTGTAGGTAGCCACAGATGCTGTGAGTTCATAACAAGTTCCATAACCTTATCAATATTTTGTAGTAGCTTCCTCCACGACTATTACATTCCACCTCAAAGGGAAGCTCCTTAAGACAGATGGTAAATGCCAGGCAGTGGTGGCCCACGCCTTTAATCCCAGTACTTGGGAGGCAGAGACAGGCAGATTTCTCAGTTCAAGGCCAACCTGGATTACAGAGTTCCAGGACAGCCAGGGCTACACAGAGAAACCCTGTCTTGAAAAACCAAAAAAAAAAAAAAAGTTGTAAATATGAGGTAGTGGTGGTGCATGCTTTTGGGCTGGAGAGATGGCTCAGTAGTTAAGATCCCTAACTGCTCTTCCAAAGGCCATGGGTTCAATTCCCAGCAACTACATGTTGGCTCACAACCATCTGTAATGGGATCTGATGCCCTCTTCTGGTGTGCCTGAAGACAGCTACAGTACCGTCATATGCATAGTAAAATAAATAAATATATATGAGCCTGGTAGTGGTGGTGCACGCCTTTAATCCCAGCACTTGGGAGGCAGAGGCAGGCAGATTTCTGAGTTCGAGGCTAGCCTGGTCTACAGAGTGAGTTCCAGGACAGCCAAGGCTACACAGAGAAACCCTGTCTCAAAAAAACAAAAAATAAATAAATAAATAAATAAAAATTAAAAAGACAGGTGGTAAACAACTCAAAAATGCTACAGGAAGTCCCTGAAACTGAACACATTCACTTTCTTCATAAGAATAAATAAGCCAAGTAGCCTAGAGTCACTCTCAGACAAACCAGGCTGCAAAGAAGACTCTGAAATCTGGCCAGCTGCCTAGAAGAAAAGCAGAAACCAACCAAGCTGCCTAGGAGATGTTTGAACCAACTGGATAACTTGGAAGGGGTACTCCTCAACCTTTTGAAATGTGTACAGGCTGTGTAGTGTGCTCCAGGTTCCCAGACGTTGTGAGCTGTCACCTATGCTGGGGTGGACCTTAGTGTCTTTGAGTCATTTCTGCTCATGTAAACAACCCCTTATCCATACTCCTGTAAATAACATAAAAATAATTCTCGTTGGTTCCCCAATTTGGACTTTGGTAATATATATACTTTGGTCTGTCATGGGCTTCGTATCTGGAGTGAAAAGACATGTATGTAGCATCTCTCTAGGAAAAAGTCTTGTCACACAATAGTGAAGCCCGAAAGTTCACATTCCCAGGGCCCCTACATGTCTAGCTGTTACACTCTTTCTACCTGCTCTTCAGAGATGTCAACTGAAGGAGAAAGTGACCAAATATAGGAAAAAATGCTTGGCATACTGTGCTTCTAAATAAGAAGCATGACATACCCTACCCCAAAAGTCAGGACACTGAATTCTAAAGCAGTGTGAACCTGTAGCTGGCCTGCAGACAAGTTCTTTCCACATCCCCTTCAATGTACTTCTCCCACATAGAGACCCTGGAGGTATGAACACTCACTATCCAAGCCAAGTTAATGTGCTAACCCATCACCATCTATAGGCTTTGGATATGTAAGTAGCTGTTCACATAGAATAAAGCAAACGCCATTCCCTGAAATTGTCTCTGGAATGTTCTATCTCCTTGCCATTTGTTGAGCCAAAGGCATTGCTGTCTTGGCGGGGACACCTGGGTAACCACAGCACCCTAAGCCTTATGGTAATAGAAGGGAGAGTTGAGAAAGAAGTTCTAAAGGCAGAAAGACATAATTTTGCAATTCTTGATGTAACAACGGATTAAAGCAAGGAGTACCAAGGGATTCAACATCGTTATATGAAAAGTCCTTGGAGACTTAGTAATTTCACACAGTAAAGTATCACAAGTCACAAAACATGTACCTGAATCATGTATATATTTGTACCCTGTTACCAGTGCCTTCGGCGATCAGAGTCACATGATGTTGTGTCTCGTGCCATGATCAGTTACGATGAATGTAAACTCTCTGTGAAATATTGATACCCGGAATATTTTGCCTTGTTTTAGTCAGGGTTGGACATTAATAATGTATTCACTATTAATGTTCTAAAACATTCTATTGAGCACACGAGAAAAGAAATAGGTTCAGTATGTATAGCCTCACATATCTGAAGTATTATTCCAAAATAGTAAGCAAGTGGAAAAGAATGGCTGCCAGGGACCTGCCTAGGCTCGGCAAGGGGTTCTTGAGAGAAGGGGTATATTAGAACCTCAAAACAACTCAAATTTAAATTGTTGACTACAAGCTGATGGCCCATGTTTTGCTCAAGACAGCTTTCCTGACTTCTCTCTCTGAAGTCAGTTTTCTCTGGAGATCTCCAGACAGCTCTCTGCTTGAGGCAGCCTTTTTTAAAAAAAAACAAACCAACAAACAAACAAACAAAAAAACTTCACCTCTCTGGACAACACATCTCTTACAGATCAAAAGCCCAGTCATTACCCCAGGTTCTCTTAGATTATCCCATGAATCAGTATCCCATGACCCCAGCCCCTTGATTCTTAGAGACAGTAAGCACAAGAACAGACAATAAAATAACTGTATGAAACCTTGCCTTGAAATTACCATTTCTACCATGCCTGAGCCTGACCCTAAACCACATCTATCGCAGACTGACCTTGAACTCAAGAATCTGTCTACCTTTGTAAGCATAAACAAAAAAAAACCATTTAGTTGGGTAGGATCTTGCCTGAGATCAACACTCTCTAAATCTCTTTATCTCCTTCCTTAATATCTTTCTGACAAGCTGGCTCATAGTGCAGCGGCCTCT